TCACAAGAAATTATTTGGCGAAAGTTTCACGATGTTCTTAAAGTAATGGAACAATTGGATGTGGAGTATATACAACCACGAAAAACCCAAAAAGTTACAAGTATCTCCAACCGTTTGCAAGGAGATACAAGATATTGGCCTTATTTTAATAGATTTGTTGTTGCACTTGATGGAACGCATGTTCCGGTAATGGTGACATCAGGTCAAGAAACACTTCGTTTTATAAACAAAATAAGAATTGAGAGTCTCAATGTTTTGGCTATATGCGATTTGATATGCTCTTCACATATTCCTTTGTCAGAATGGCAGGATCTACCAATGATGCAAGAGTATTAGCAACCGCGAGATGATCCAATGTTTCTTGTACCTCGAGAAAGTAAGTATTATATTGTAAATTTTGGATATTCTAATTGGCATGAGTACTTAGCTCCATATCGAAGGGAACATAGGGGAGACACAAGATATAATCTCGAGGAGTTTTTAAACAATGGACCTCTTCGAGATAGTAAAGAAATTTACAATAGGTGGCATGCTTCCAAACGTTCTGTCTTTGAACGAACATTTGAACATTTGGCGTATGAAAAAAGAAATGGAAAGTCCTTAATGAATTTCCTAGATATGACATCTCTACATAATATTCACCACAATGGATATGCATAATTTTATTCGTCAACACAATATTCAAGATTTGGACTTTGACAACATCGATATCGAAAATAATGTAATACGTACAAACACAACATATTGAGAATGATGAGCAAAAAGATAATGATGGTGTCGAAGTTGAAGAAGAAATAGAGGCAATAATATATATATATATATATATATATATATATATATATATATATATATATATATATATATGCGTATAGTATGCGATCAAATTGCTGAATATTTATGATTGGTAAACCAACGTAGATCTCAAACATCGTCATTAGACTATAGCTTGAAATTTTGTTTATTACAACGAAACATATATAAATATATTTTTTTTAATGTAATCTATTTATTTTTGTTTAACATAATTTATAATTTTCCTTTTGATCAATAAAAGAATATATTCTAGTCAATCCTTCTAATTGCTCCCAATTAGTCCTACTTATTCTCATTAACTACTAATCAAATGAAAAAAAAAATTATTTACTGTTATTCTCGTTTATTCTAACTATCACTTTTCATTTTTTCCCAATTCATTTCCTCTCAATTACTCTAAATCATACTATATATGAAAGGATGTCAACTCTCTCCATCTGTTTAACATGATTTTATTTTTAAAGATCAAAGTAAAATGAAGAGTCTTTCGTCTCCATTTTTTGTTGTTTATTCTCTTTTTTTGATTCCACAAAAGTTAAATAAATCTTTCATTCAATCTCACTCTCAATTCTGTAACCAAATCCTTTTACTTTCTCTAGCAGCGATTTTCTTTTTTTTATGAGCCCTTAAAAATATGTTCATATGATAAAATTGGGATGTATTAAAAAAAAAACGCATAATACCAAAAAAAAGGAAAGAAAAGAAAAGAATGGATCATAGGTTTCAAGGTACTATATCTTGAAAGTGATGAAGAAGAAAAGGCAAAGGAATCAAAATTTGCGAATTTACCACACATATTCCTCAAACGATTCGTAACCAATGGTCTTAAACTCGATCTCATCGAACCTGGCCCGCTGGCCGTATCGTATGCTCCATGAAAATCCCTCCTCATCTCCTTGTAACAACAACAACAAAAATCCCTAATTTCGATTTTGAAAAAAGATCCCGAATTTTGAATTGGTTGTTGAGGAAAGAACGCATGCAAATTCTTACACTACGGAGCAACGGTAACTCTGGTGGATTTGATTGGATCAACGGTGATTTACACAGCCGCAGTTTAACGTTTGGGAGTTTCATACATGTTGCTTTTCTTGATGTAATTCATTCATTATTTGTCTTTCTTTAATCTCTCAATCTTTGTTTGAGCTAACCATGCAAATTGATTGATAGTTTGTTTGTGTGTGAATTTAAATAATATGCTAGGTTGGAATCGTATATACGCTCTATTAGGTTTTGTCCTTTTATGACCTTTCGTTTAGTGGTCCATATTCTACTTATCACACAACCTTTTCTCATAATGATGTGGTTTATAGAAATGAGACCATCAAGAGATAACACTAAGGAAGTACGACACGCCACTCTCTCTATTAAAGCAAGGTGAGAGATCAGAGATCTAATTGTTGAATCATATAACAATAATATATATGATGTCCAATATATGTTAGTCCGGTTTTCTTTCATTAGCCTATCAAGAAAAGAATCGGGAAACATAATATGAATCAAGCTTTGTTTTCCAAGAGAGTGGATTCGACAAGGTTGGTAGACCATATATTTTTTTTTCGAACATCGAGTTGGTTTCATATTCTGTAAGCCAATAATAATCACATTCTATATATGCATAAGACAAAGCGTCCTCATGGAAAGGAGGTTCAGCTCAGAGCTCTAACTCTTTTTGACTACTGAGTATTTTCACCAGTTTTTCCTAGAAAAAGAACACGACATGCATAGAGGAAAAAGACAGAATCAATATCTAGTTCTTACAATAAAATGAAATTGGAAAAGCTTGTAGGCCAAATATCACTGTTGATGATAAAACTCTAACATAACTTACATACACAAAAGGATAGAGAAGAAGGAGACTGAACCAATGGAAACTTTTATTCTCTTGTGAATGATCATTAATCCAATTATTGTATATGATATAAGAACACGTAGAAATTAGCTATCAAAACGTGCCACTAAATCAATAGAAATAAACACAAATACGCAAATGCCCGCGGCGTAGCGCAGGTATTCACCTAGTTACTCTAATGTTTACCAATCGGATCCTAATTAAGTGCACAGTCAGTTTAACACTCAAAATTTGGGCTTCCCTAACCCTTTTATCACTTCATCTCGAGTACATAAAATAAGTCATTTGAACTGGTAACAGCAAAAAAAGAAAAATCAAACAACAAAATTAAATTTAGTTAAGTAATTGCCTTTAAATCCTATGATCAAGCTGTAGCGGAAGCTGACTCAATGTTTTTTGCTCTGCCGAGGAACTTTGCGGCGGTTATTCCGTTGTCTAGGTTGAAGGTCCTCAGACATGGCCGATGGTATTTTGAGACTTTTCAGGATCTTACAAGTGACTTTTTTGGCAGATTTATGTTCTAGGAAAAAAAAATTATCGTCTTCCAAGTCAAACTTCAAATACTCGGTGGAACATTCCTCTATAAGCTGACATAGATGCTTCAAATTATCCACTTCCACTCCATTCACTTCCTTCACCTATATCCACCATAAATATGTATTTAGGGAAAAGACTTTTCCAGTAACTCGAGTGAGAAACTAAGAGTAAGAAATAAATACATTACCTGTAAATCTTCAAAAACACTAAGTCCTGAAGTGATATCATCCTCTAAAATCTGTACCAGGAAACAAAAATTTAGCTCTCAAAATTATCACGTTTAAAAATGAATGCGGGAAAACAATACGAACCTGAGAAATTATTACAATTTGTTCACCGGCTTTTGTGCGCATCTTTTTAACACAACATTCGCAAATACAAGAACGATCAATGTATGGTTGAGTTAGAGGTACAAAAACAAGACCCCCATATATACTAACTTCGAGGTACAGTCACATTAATTAGTTTTCTTGCAAAACAAGTAAACACGTAAACTCAACCGAAACATAAAAATTTTTCACTCATAGAGCCGTCACCAGAAGATGTTTCACTTTCCTTCTCACTAGTCCAAGCCTTGAGGTTTTGCAATCTAATTCCTCATGTTTTGGCAATATTCCTTATGAAAGAAAGAAGAAACATAAGCTTTTCCGCAACAAAAGAATGGTCCAAGAGCTCATACACGGTGGCCCTATCTGCAGGCTGCCACGCAAAGCACTGCATCAAGAACTCTGTGGCCACCGGAGAGATTTCCTCATATAGCCTCCACGTGTAAGATTTTCCCATTTCAAGAAGGATACCCCCCAACATCTCAAGAACAGAACGCTCTTTGGATAAGCCGAAACCAGCAAGTTTTAGTTCCCACGGCTATCAAAGAGTGTTTGAAGGGAAGACGAGTACATTGTGCCGAACCCTAATGTTGAGCTTCTAAGGCTCTTTTAAAGAGAACTTATTTAAGAGTGAAGAGTCAGTTTGACATCCAAAATTTGGGCTTCCCGAAGCCACATCACTTTCTCTACAATAACAGTTATATAATCCTCTATTATTGGATTTGGTTATAACAAAAAAAAAGTTTAGAAAATCAAACACCTAAAATTAAACTTGTAATTATTAATTTCCTAGGTTGACCAAAAATAAATTATTAATTTCCTTTAAAATGTGACAATCCTTGAAAGGGTAAAGCTGCATCAGAAGCTAACTCATTGGCCAAATTAATGTTTCTTTCTCTATCGAGGAACTTTGCGGCGCCTATTCAACTGTCTAGGCTGGAGGTCCTTGGACATGGCCGAGGGTATTTCGAGTTTTTTCAAGATTTTAGAAGTGGCTTTTTTCGCAGATTTATAATCGAGGGCGAGAACATTATCTTGTTCCAAGTCCATCAACAAATTTTCTGTGCAGCATTCCTCTATGAGCTTATATAGATGTTTGAGATTATGCACTTGTACTCCATTCACTTTCTTCACCTGTTTCCGTCATTAATAAAATAAACTTTACAGTGTGAAATTTATATTCTCTTTTTGTAAATTCTGTTTAAGAAAAAAAATAAAAATAGAGTGAAACTAAGTGTAGGCAATAAATACATTACCTGCAAATCTTCAAAAATGTTGTATCCTGTATTGATGTCATCTTCTAGAATCTGTATCAGGATAAAATTTTAATAAACTCGATAAATTAATTTTCACGTTTTAAAAGTGGAAAACACTGAGTCCTGAAGTGATATCATCCTCTAAAATCTGTACCAGGAAACAAAACTTGAGCTCTCAAAATTATCACGTTTAAAAATGAATGCGGGGGAAAAAATTACGAACCTGAGAAATTATTACAATTTGTTCACCGTCTTTTGTAGGCATCTTTTCAACACAACATTCGCAAATACAAGAACGATCAATGTATGGTTGAGTTAGAGGTACAAAAACAAGACCCCCGAATATATAATAACTTGGAGGCTTGTCAAATTGATGCATTGGAACTAGCGGTGGCACCTGCATGCGTACAATTAATAGATAAACATAAAAATCGTTCACATGATTCTTTGTTCTAACAAAACGTGAACCAGTAAAGTAGAAGCAAAGATGCAGTTTAATTTATTTGCGAAGGACGACTTACGGGTTTTAAACTAATATTAAACTCATACTCTTTTCCCTCTCTTAAGACTTTGAGTAACGCTCTTTCACATGGTTTCTTCATAGAAACCAAATGCTTGAAAGTTATTCGTTCCTTGTTACGAAAAGGGACTGTACACAAAGGAAAGATTTAGTAAAGGTGTGAATAAAACGGGGAAAATTATATATATAGCGACAATTACCTGTACTATCATTTCCTATAGGAACACCATCAATCGCGAGAATGACATCATTTTTTTTCAGAACTTTGTGAGCATCCGAAAGCGGGTCTATGTTTTTTACAAGAATCCCTGTCATGTCGTCGCTCATTTTGAAATGGTTACGGAGTTGATCATTCTCCATATTCTGATATGATAGATTTATTGAGCAGAAACTAACATGTTGACTACTTTCTTCAACAGCATCTAAAAAATGCCTAATGACCGGAGTGGGAATTATGTAGCTGCAGATGAATAGAAAAATAAAATATAAGGTTATATATCATGTCCACAGAGATAGACTTTCATATCAATATAGATATTTCAATTTGAATTTAACTTACCCTATACTATCGGAACAACATAGACTTTCAAATGCTACACCAGCCACTTTGTTGCCCATGATTACCGGACCACCACTATTTCCATCATTTATAGCTGCATCTATTTGTATTGCCAGTAGTTCAGTGGCGCTGTGACTGTATTCTAAGAGTTCAACTCTTGACACAACACCTTTCGTAACGGATATGGTATCACCACCTGCATGATAGAAATTGTTGTCACAACCTATATGCACATATTCTTATGATTTCTACGCAATGCAAAATAGCATTCCTTTTCTCAAGACGATTCAATACTTGAAAGTGTATGGATTTTCAAAGAAGTTTATATATACAAAAAATAGCCTCTTGGTTTGTTATTCACAAATCTATATTTATCGTTGTTTATCAAGTAATTTGTTTGGGTGTTCATATGAGAATTAAAATTTACCTTTTGGATAGCCAACAACGTAGACCTTTTCTTGCAGGGAGGGTATGTCCCTGAGTTCCAAGGGGTTCATTCCCTCCCAAAACTCTTCGCTATCGATATCCAAGATGGCCAAATCACATTCATGCCCGATTGCTCGAACTTTTGCTTTGTACTTTCTGGGTGAACCATGCTTTCGGACTTTAACAGATGTTTGATCAGCCACTACATGAGCATTCGTAAGAATCCTCTTTCCTGAGATTACAAAACCTACAACCATTCCAAGCTAAGTATGTGAGCCAAACCAAAAATTCCTACTCTTTTATTGAAAAAATAATAATTCCTAGTATACTTATCTAAATTAATTAACATATGAATAAAATTATCAATACCAGAGCCGGTGGATTCACTCTGAATACTAATCTGCCAAGGTTGAAAAAGTCTATGCTTGCTAGAGACGGTGAACACCTTCACCACCGAGTTGAGGGCCAAATCAATGGCAGAAGTAGTCATGATCTTTTCTACACCATCATCACTAGAAACTTCTTTCACCGGCAGAATCTTATTCTTCCAATCTTGAAAGATGCTAAAGACCGGGAAGTTCTTAAGCACCGACTTCGACTTATTCTCTTCAAAATCCATTGGTGCAGTATCAGAAGAAAAGAAACGGATATTATTAGAAGATGGACTGGCGAAAATTGCTGTCTTCGGGGCTGCATTGCCGCGAATAAGGAGTCCAGGAAGAGGAGCGCTCGATAAGCTCTCGATAAGCTGCGAAACCGGGACACGGCACGAACACAGCGGAATGACATTGGTGCAGTTTATAGTTGACACGGTAAGAGTAGTTTAACTTACACCAATAGGTTGTGATATATATATATACATATTACATAATTTACCAAAAAAAGGAAAGAACTAAATTCGTTATATATAAGATGTGCATTGTTTCTGTTTCTTAAATGTAAAATTTTCAAATTCCAAAACCATAACTTCCTAATTAATGATGCACTCTGTATGAGATATGTTTTGTTTCCAAATGAAAAGCTATGAACTTCCTTATGATTTATGGGACTGGGACATAAAAGTTAATATACAGTTTTTCTATAACGGTGATGAATTACTGCCAAAAAAAAAAAAAAACTGCCAAAACTTTTCACCCAATCAACAACCTCAAGTTAACATAATGTACGTAATGTCCATTGACGTGTAAATCTTAACAAAAATTAATATTTGCATTTTTTCCCCTAAAAGATTTTATTAAAGACACAAAGCCAGCAAGGATCCACATGCTTTCGAAAACAAAACCAAACAAGTTGAAAGACGACATCCCTCGAAACCAAAAGCCGGAAAAACAAAGATATTTTCGTGGACACTAAAACAAAACTAAACCCGAAAGCTAGAGTACAACTGAAAACAGATCATAAACCTTAACATCAAAACACCACTACAAGGTAAAACAACAACGAAAAAGCGAATTAAATGTAGAAGAGCATCCAAATGCCGAAATCTATATAGTGTAAATATATTAAAAAAGTTTATAATGAAAACCTTTTTTAAAATAATTTCAAAATTTTCAAAAACATAAGTTCTAAATATTTTAAAAACAAAAAGTTCTGCTTTTTCTAATTATATCTTATTTTAACTTAAAAAAAACAGAGTAAATTGATGATTTGTGGCTTCTATTGGTATCCTATTTCAGTAACTTCCATATATTTTGTTAGTCTAGATTCTCATTTCTGTAAGACCATGTTTTCTACGATGTGGCAAAATTGAATAATTATAATAGATGATGATGAGAAGCATGATTAAGATACAACAACCCGATACCAATATTTGATAAACAAAGATTGGTTTGTGCGGAGGCGAGACACTCTTTCCTTAATTCTTTAACTACCCATAGTGTGATGGTTTGATGCAATCATAATCCCAAGTTACAACCGTACCATCTTTTGATTTGCAACACTTCAAAACAGAAGTCTAGCGAATCCTAGTCATGTGTGTACTTTCAGACTCGATAACTAGAGAAAACTGAAAAGAAGAAAAAGGAGATTGTTGTATTTATAATCGATCTTTCAGTGAGCAAAAATGGGAAGATGAAGCCTTGATTTTATAATCCAAGCTTTCAACGTAAGAAATAAAGAGGAGTAATAAGAATTCATTCTCAACAATTCTTAATGATAGTCATTCATTACAACCTTATCATTAATTGATTTGGCCATTTTACGTAGTAATATAAGTCAGATGATCAAGAGGCAATTAGTACGGATAAATTATTAACGGACCTAAGGAGATGTATGAGTCTTGATCCAGAACCTTCTAATTATCAATATATATGTAAAATTGATTTAACTGGTATATCATATTAATATCCGAGCATTATAACTGAATTATAAAACAGCAGAATCAATAGAAAGACCACACTCTTAAGCTGAATAAAAATAATATATATACTTTTAAACACCAAAAATTTACTATCTTATATAATATGACAAGGTTTTTCTGTAAGGAGCTCTATTATCACGACATTTGTCACTTTCTTCTTACGACATGTGGCACATATTTTTTTTAATTATGACATTTAATAGGAAAAATTTTCTTTCATACCACTTCTTTAATATCCCTACATTTATATATATATATATATATACACCAATTAAAATATATAAAAAGTTTAAATGCAAAAATAATTAAAAATATTGGAATCATAGAATTTGTTCTTTCATACAATTTATTATCTACACTAAAATCTTAGAATTTTTTCTTTGATACAATTTATTATCTACAGTGTATATGTAAAGACCAACTTTATGCCATATTAGTGTAAATAATTTATATATTTTTTGGCTTCATATACCATATTTTCCTATAATTTTATATATTTGTTCCTTAGATTATTTTTTTGGCTTCATATATATTTGTTTATATTTTATCATCATAATAATAATAAATAAAACATTAAATTATTTCACAATAATATATTCTATTCTATTCTTTTGGGATCGTCTAATAATAATTTCTATTATATCAATGGTCTAAAAAATAATTACTACAACAGCTAATCTATTTTAGAATTAGTTTATACTGCATAAGATATTCAAAATTTAAAGAACATGTGTAAGAAAAAAACTAATTCAATAATTGAAATCTCATAAACAAGAAATTATTCAAAATATACCAAATAAGATAATGTTAATCACATAATCAATTATATATGTTTATTTAAATGCATGAAAGAAAATGTGTTTTGTTTAAATATTAATTCCTATTATTGGCATATTAATTCCTTAAAATGTAACCATAACTCCCATCATTTTTGACCAAAAAGGCAAAAACACACAGAAAAAAACTCCCATGACATTAATACACATGTAACTGCTAAGAAAGATTATTAAGTGTCCTTAGATTATTTTTGATATATCACTCGGAAAGAATACACAACTCACTTTAAATTACACCAAAAAAAAGTTAGCCCAAAAATGACAAAGCTGTAACGTGTGATACTTAATTTTATGTCTAATTGAAAACTACAGTTAATATTCAATCAAATACCTTTCATTGTCGTTAGCATGTAGGTAGACTACATACAGGTAAATGCTATTACTGTATTCTGTATAACACATTTAATTCTACAAATGTAACGTAGCTCATGATGCTAAAACTACAATTAATTTTATTCACATATATAATATTAAAAGCAATTTATTATTGTTTTGACAATATAATTTTTTTATAAATAGTACGACATGTTCAATACTAACCATCATATTTCAAGCCCCACAAATTTTGTAACATTTTTCTATTCACTTAATAGTTTCTAATCTTCTTTTCTTCTTTTTTGCGTATTCTTTTTTTTTGTCAGTTCTTTCTTATGTTATGTTTGTAGATCTGGATATTTTTTAATATTTTTGAAAGTCATATGTTAAGGTGGTGACTATCTTAAAGTCAGTTAAAATATTCGAGGTAAGATGTCATTCTTTCCAGGTTTAGTTTGTGTTTGTTTATTTTTATATTGTTTCCAACGCACAAAAATTTGATTATCTATCTTTCGTTTATAGTTATTAATGAAAAATTTATTGCACAAAAAAAATGGGAATGAAAAGAGTCTAATTCAAAAATAGATAGTTTGACAATGGATATGAAGTATAGTTAAAAATAATATAGTTTTATTTTTTTTACAGTGTGACAATTATTGTATAGATGGGTGGTTCAAATTCTTGAGTCTATTCACGAACAACCCAACCCAACAATTGGTTTGGAGATCGTTCAAGAGAAAACGACATGGCATATAGTTTTTCAAACATAAATGTTTTTTTTCAAACATAAATATTAATAGTATTAAAATTATATTTTTACAAAACTATCATTAAATTCTAATTGTATATTATCATATTTAATTCCTTAAAATATAACTGTAATTCTTATGCTATTTAATAAAAATGGCTTTATTTATCCCTAATCAAACAACAAATATAACCCATTTAATCATATACATTAATCCACCCTTTAATACTAAATTGTAACCTAAATAATATAAATTGTATGATATATTTTCTCCATTCAATGCATGTAACTCCCATAATTATAATTAATAATTTATGCATTTTCTAATGTTACATTTAAATACTAATTTACTATCATGTATTTCATCAACATAAGATTAACACAATAACACCCTCTATTTTCATATATTTATATATGATTATGAATTGTGAGCTATTTAAATAGCTACTCAGTTTTTCATAATCACTTATTAGAATTCCGAATCTCATATAAATTTTTCTAAAAAGATATCCTACATGCTACACATATATAAAATAAATTACTATGAAAACATAGTCTACACATGTGCCAAATTTTATTTCTTCTTTCTTTAAGATAAGTTATTATGATTTTTTTATTTATTAATGTGGTATAAATTGCAGAAAATATATATTTAATAGTTTTAGCAGTTTCAATAATTACTATGAGATTATATATATAAAAACATATTTTACTATCTTTTTAAAGTTGAAATTAACATATATAAGATGTTCTAATATATTTGTTTTTAGCAATATGTGCCATATTGTCTTATATTGCTTTATTTTTGCACTTTAAAATAAATATTTAACATCATGTTATTAATAAACAGATTAATGCGTATATAGGGGTGTCAAAATGGGTAACCTAGCCCCTAACTCAAGGTCAATGGTTGCCAGAGGCGGTCAAATGAAATTTGCCCCAATTCACAAAACAAAGATACTTCTACAAAGCTAGAGCTCTAAACTGTCTTTTTTCCCATGTAAGCAAATCGGTTCCTGATTGGCTCTCCCTATCGGATAGTCTCTTTCCGACAACTTAATAGAAATGGTGTTCGAGGAAAAGAAAAAAAAGATGCTTCTACAAAGATAAATTGCCATATGATGAAATTACGTCAAAACCAAAACATAAAATTAGTTCTAAAACGTAATTCTTCTCCCTTTCTCTCCAACAAAATTATTAGCCAAACATTCATAGTCAATTTCCCTAACCAATTCTCTTTCGATAGATAAGATCGCCAAGTCACTCAATCGTTTTTCATGATTATTAAGTAATACATTATAGTTTTAGTTATAAGATGTATTGTATTATTATCAAAATTTGAAATACTATGAAACATCTAATATATTTTTATATACAATACAATTTCTATAATGCATAACTTGATAATCATTAACCTAAATTTATAA